GAGCCCCATACAAAGATTCCAGCTTCACATCTGTGTGTCCATCCCAGTGGGGGTGAGCGAGGCCGAGTCTTTCTGTGGTTAGGAGTCATTTTCCCCAATGACTGATGTATCTTTCACATGCTCATGGCTGTTTTGCATATTATTGTTGGATAAATGTGTATTCAGGTCTTTGCCTTTAGTTTAGTTGGGTTGTTTGTGTTTTTATTATTGAGGTGTAAGAGTTCTTTATTCTAGATACAAGTCCCTTAATAGATACATAATTTGCAAAAATTACCTCAATTTGTTTATTTCTTAAATTCCCAGTTCTAGGTATATTTATTTACATAGGCCTTAAATCAGTGGTTCTCAACCTTCTGGCCCTTTAAATACAGTTCCTCATGTTGTGACCCAACCATTAAATTCTTTTCGTTGCTACTTCATAACTGTAATGTTGCTACTGTTATGAATCGTAATGTAAATATCTGATATGCAGGATGGTCTTAGGCAACCCCTGGGAAAGGGTCGTTCGACCGCCACAGGGGTCGCGACCCACAGGTTGAGAACCGCTGCCTTAAATCCTGGGGTTTGCTTTTGGGCACCCTGTGATCCAGGATGTCATTCCCCTCCCTCCCCCCAAACAATGATCTCAGCATTGTGGAGTATCTGGCAGATCCTTTGATGGCCTCCCTGGATTGCCTCTTCCATGTAGACTCACAGACGGTTTGTTTCAAGATTCTTCCAATGCTCAATTTAGGTTTTAAAAAGTAGTGTTTTGTAGTATGTCTAATGGTAAAACAAGTCTCCTTTTCCTCCAAATATCCACATTCCAAAATGAGCCAGGCACAGAGCACTGTGATTCCACTCACAGGAAGTCCCTAGAGGAATCAGACTTAGAGACAGAAAGTAGATGGTGGGAGCCAGGGGCTGGGGGAGAGGGAAAGAGATTTAGTGTTTAATGGGACCGAGTTCCAGTTTGGGAAGATGAAAAAGTTCTAAGATGGATGGTGGTGATGGCTGCACCATGTGAATGTGCTAATGTCATTGAGCTGTGCACTTAAAAATGGTTAATATGGTAAATTTTTTTTTTCTTCCCACCCCCCCTCCTCCCCCCTTCCCTCTGAGATTCATCAGTCTGTTCCATGTTTCCATGCCTGTTTCAGGTTACATTTGTTCCTTTTTTTTTCCCCCCCCTAACTCCCCTCCTCCCAGTTCCCGCCCCACCCTCCGCCCTCACTCCCCACCCCCTGTCCTCATCCCTAGGTGCACGATTTTTGTCCAGTTTCTTCCCGCATCTCCCATTCCCCTTTCCCCGCCAAGAATAGTCAGTCCATTCCCTTTCTATGTCCCTGATTCATTATAATCACCAGTTCATTCTGTACATCAGATTATTTATTCACTTGGTTCTTAGATTCACTTGTTGATAGATGCATGTTTGTTGTTCACAATTTGTATCTTTACCTTTTTCTTCTTCCTCTTCTTAAAGGATACCTTTCAGCATTTCGTATAATACTGGTTTAGTGGTGATGAACTCCTTTAGCTTTTCCTTATCTGTGAAGCTCTTTATCTGACCTTCAATTCTGAATGATAGCTTTGCTGGATAAAGTAATCTTGGTTGTAGGTTCTTGGTATTCATCACTTTGAATATTTCTTGCCATTCCCTTCTGGCCTGCAAAGTTTCTGTTGAGAAATCAGCTGACAGTCGTATGGGTATTCCCTTGTAGGTAATTGAGTCTCTTTCTCTTGCTGCTTTTAAGATTCTCTCTTTGTCTTTTGCTCTTGGCATTTTAATTATGATGTGTCTTGGTGTGGTCCTCTTTGGATTCCTTTTGTTTGGGGTTCTCTGCGCTTCTTGGACCTGTAAGTCCATTTCTTTCACCAGGTGGGGGAAGTTTTCTGCCATTATTTCTTCAAATAGGTTTTCAATATCTTGCTGTCTCTCATCTTCTGGCACCCCTATTATTCTGATATTAGTGCGCTTGAAGCTGTCCCAGAGGCTCCTTACACTATCTTCGTATTTTCGGATTCTTTTTTCATTTTGCTTTTCCGGTTGGGTGTTTTTTGCTTCTTCGCATTTCAAATCTTTGGCTTGATTCTTGCGCTCCTCTGGTCTGCTATTGGGTGTCTGTATAATATTCTTTATTTCAGTCCGTGTATGCTTAATTTCTAGTTGGTTCTTTATCATAGCATCGAGGGTCTCATTAGTTTTCGTGAGTCTCTCCTCAAGTTTATTGGCAGCTTCTAGCACATTTTTGCAAGCCCTCAAAATTGCGTTTTTTAGCTCTATATCCTCCATTTCTGTCATGTTTTTTTGTCTCCGCATTTTTTATGCTTTCTTGGTGCGCCCCCTTGTGATCTTTGTGCGCAGTCTTGTTCTAGTTAAGCCTTGATTGTTGTAGTTAATACTAGAGGAATTTCTAATATGGTAAATTTTATGTATATTTTACCACACACAAAATGTCTTGGTTATTCCTTAGTATTTACTCTTTAAATGAATAGAATCGGCTCACGAGTGTCTGTGGAAAGTCCTTTGCTGTGGTTGGTGTGCTCTGTCTCTGAAGCTGGTGAAAACCTGCTGTTGTCCCTTTGTGAAGGGTCCCAGACGCCCTTGGTTAGGTTTCCAGCTGCAGAGGCCTGGGCATTATTGTCACCTGTGGGGGCACCGGTCTCTGTGCCCTCCTCCCAGCAGCACCTGGCTCCCCTTTATTTCTTAGAGACCTCATTCTGCCTATGCCACCAAGACAGCCTGTCCCAAGTTCTGAGATTGGCTCAGGGTGGCTCCCTGCTCTGTGACACCCACCGTGGGATTCCTGGGGGACAGGTGGGATGAGGTCGAGACCTGGCACTTACAGAGTTCCCCGCCACCAGGACATGAAATTGGCCTACCCTGTGAAGGTGCCTCTAACAAGTTGGAGGCCAGTGTTTGCAGACCCATCAGGTTCCAGAGGTGCTTTTGCATCTAAGAATGGGGTGCTTTACATGACATTTGCTTTCTGACTAATGCCGATAGTGAAAAGCTGCTGTCTAGCTGAACTCTTGACTATTAGTTTCAGCTGTTAATTCTTCTGTCCTTTAAAAAATGTAAATAAAAATGTACATGTCTTTTGTGTAAAGGGCCAGATAATAAGTGTTTTCAGAGTTCAATGACCCACCTCTCTAGGGCACAAGTGGCGTACAAGGTGGCATGTCACCAAGAGTGTGTGGCTATGTGCCAACTAATCTTTGCCCAAAAACAGTACCGGGCTGCAGTGTGCTGGCGCGTGGTCTCCTTTTCTGGCTTTCTTAGGAAGTTTCTGCAGAGACGAGGCCTGCTGTTGCAGTGCCCTGACTGACTTGTCACGGCCACTTCTTAGCTATGCCTGGTGTGTGCTGTGGTTTTGGGGGGCTGTTTTGTATCAGGAGGGGAAGCCCTTGCTCCCTGGCTGCTTTTGTTACAACTGCATGTGGATTCTGCCTAATTCTTCTGCACTGAATTAAAAGTTGGGGCTCTTCCACACACTCTGACTCCATAGCCCAATGGTACCAATGTCAGGCCATTGGGCTGTGGAGTCGGTGTGTGGTGACTGTCAACAAATGTAGCTTCTCAAAAACTCAGTTGGGGTGGAAATTGAATAGCGAATGTTCTGACTCTTCTTAGTAAATGCCTGTCAAAATCATTCAGAAGCTCTAAGTTATAGAATTTTGTTATTTGTAAATCACAGAAGATGGAACATATTTAGAATTTTTCATCCCAGGATTTTAAAGTGACTTTTCAATGTATTGACAGGTATTTTCATAACTTCTTGTGGAGAGATTATAAAAATAAAAATAATTACTTAATGAAAAAAGCTTAAAGCGAAATTACTGTTAACAGCATACATGTACATTTTGTGTGTTAACATTAAGTTCTTCATTTGTACACTGCAAACCGCTGAAATTTAAACAAGAGAGTCAGGGATGTGTTTTTGCCTCCAGTGGAGTAGGGAGCAGCACTTTAAGAGATTTCCAGACAAAAGGGAAATGCTACCCGAAGAGTTTTAGATTTTGTTTCTGGTAAAAATGGTTAGGGCAGACTAGTCAACTGATCAGAGACAAACTAAAGGGAAGGACCAAGTTCTATTGTTTAATACATTTTAAACAATAGGTGCTTCTCTGTCTCTGGATCTGTTTTTGTTCATCAGTTTATGTTGTTCATTATATTCCACAAATGAGTGAGATCATGTGATATTTACCTTTCTCCAACTGGCTTATTTTGCTTAGCATAATGCTCTCCAGGTCCATCCATGCTGTTGCAAATAGTAAGAATTCCTTCTTTTTTACCACAGCATAGTATTCCATTGTGTAGATGTACCACAGTTTTTTAATCCACTCATCTGTTGATGGGCACTTAGGCTGTTTCCAAATCTTAGATATTGTAAATTGTGCTGCTATGAACATAGGGGTGCATATATCCTTTCTGATTGGTGTTTCTAGTTTCTTGGGATATATTCCTAGAAGTGGGATCACTGGGTCAAACGGGAGTTCCATTTTTAGTTTTTTCAATACATTTTTTAGAAAAGGAAATGCAGCTGGCAGCTGGTACTCGAATAGCACAGATGAAGAGTGTTTTTCGTCTTCTGGAAGGTTCTACTGGATAGTGCTGAGGCAGCGTTTATTGAGGTGGTTATCTAACATGTACATGTTTGCACAGCTTGCCTCAAAGGCTCCCTGGGCTCACACACCTCACTGGGCCATTTGGGGTAGACTTTCCTTCCTCACACCCTCCCCAGTGAGGAAGCAAAGGAACCCCGTGTCCCATCCCCCAAGTTGCCATACAGATTAACAACTTTATTTTAAATGTTTTTTTAAATATATATATATATTTTTTTATTTCAGAGAGGAAGAGAGAGGGAGAGAGAGAAACATCAATGAGAGATAAACATCTATCGGCTGCCTCCTACATGCTTCCTACTGGGAATCGAGCCCACAATCTGGGCATGTGCCCTGACCAGAAATTGAAATGTGGCTTCCTGGTTCATGGGTCGACACTCAACCACTGAGCCACACCAGCTGGGCAGCAACTTTATTTTAAGCAAAATATGTACACATGTGAAGGGAGATCCCATCATGTACCTAAACCCCAGATGTCCAAACCCAATTCTGCCATCTGGTCCCTGACATTTGTTTGGCTGTCAGAGTGGCCTTCCACAGCCCGGCAACCAAAAGTTACAGGTCAGGGCAGGTCCAAGGAGTGGCCAGCCCTGAGCAGAATGCTGGGGTCACTCAGGCAGTTCCTCTGTCCACAGAGCCCCATGGTGACTCCTGAGAGCAAAGTCCCCAGCTCAGCCAAGCGGGTCATGCAAAGGGGTATTGGGTGGACCATGGACTTGCTCCTGGAAGCTTGTGGAAAAGGTGGCTGTTGATGCCCTCACCACTGTGGGCCATTGCAGCCTAGGCACAGAGCCTGGCACAGTATGGCCAGGCCTGGGGACATGCACAGTGACAGGAGCCAGGAACAGGGTGGTGCTCGGCCCCCAGCCACAGCACAGGCCACCCGAGGTCCCAGCTAGACAAACTCGGGCCTGCTCTCCGAGCCAGTGCCTGCTATGACATGCCTGTCACCATGCTTCATGGCGGGCAGCGGACTCTCAGCTACATTGTTGGACTGGTTGGTGTTGTACTGGGACAGCCCCTCCCAGTCACCATCCTCCCCAGCTGAGGGTCCCAGCTGCTCCTCACTGCCGCTGTCCCCAGCCTCCTCCACGCTGGCCTCACTGCCCTGCTTCTCCAAGAAGCTGAGGTGGTGCAAGGCTCCCCCCTCTACCGGGGACAGCAGCTCTGGGGCCTCCTCCAGTTCTGAGTCAGAGTCGTTGGAGGCAACATGGGATTCTGGTAGGTCTGTGAGAGGGAGAGACAGAGGTAGAGACATGAGACAGAGGGAGAGATAGGGAGAGGTATCTCCCATTGAGCTCCCTAGGCCGATCCACTCACCTGGGCCTCCGTCCTCAGCCTCTTCCTGCAGGGGGAAGGCAGCCTCCTCGTTGGCCTCCGAGTAGGGTACCTGGAGCAACACCTCAGCCCGCTGGGTGGGCATCCCATACTGCAGGGGTGGCAGGGAGGTTAGGGAGGGGCCTGGAATCCAGCCCGTCCAAGCTCCATTTTCTGGCTTGTAAATTAGCCACATTTTTTAAATCTCTAACAGTTGTCACCACCCGCTGCATCTGAGGCTGAGGGCCCTGTTCCCATGTCATGAGTGACAGCTCTCCCAGCAGGAGCAGCAGGCTCTGGCAGTTGGGTTGGGTCCTGCAGGGACAGCCAGCAAGGACACTGTGATCCTGAGGCCACACCCAATCTTGTCTCTGGAGACCAGGGACCTGTTGCCCAAACCCTAAGAGATGCTTAAAGACAGATAAAGACTCAGGCAAAGGGACTGAATACTAGAGCAGGGTCCTGGCCAGGTGGCTCGGTTGGTTGGAGCATTGTCTTGTACACCAAAAAGTTGTGGATTTAATTCCCAGTCAGGATGTGTATGAGAGGCAACTGATGTTTCTCACATGGATGTTTCTCTAAGAAAAGAGTTGCAGGCTCAATCTCCCCGTAGGGGGCATGCAGGAGGCAGCCAATGAATGATTCTCATCATTGATGTTTCTCTTTCTCCCTCTCCCTTCCTCTCTGAAATCAGTAACAAAACATATCCTCAGGTAAGAATTTAAAAATATATATACTAGAGCAGGGGGCTGTTTGGACACACAAACCTGCAGAAACAAAAACTGTTGGCTTAAAATTAAGACCCAGCAGCCAGGTAAAGTAGCAAGTTGGACCCAGCCAAGGGTCTGGCTGTAGGGCACAGGAGGAGCCAACGCCTCTGCACTGAGTGGGGTATCCCCCAGATTTGAGCCCACACTTTGCTTAAAGGACCCCTTGGAGGCTGTCCCTGTGGAAACCAGACACCTCCCAGTCCTCCCCCATCTGCATCCGCCCCATGAGCAGACCCTTGCACCTTCCCCTGATCCACCTGCCACCTCACCTGTCCCCTGTTCTCTTCAGGCTTTTCCTCGAAAACCAGGTCATAGTGGGTGATGAGGGTCTCCACGATGCGGGCCTGGTGGGGGTAATCGACCAGGGAGGAGAGGGACACGGTGGCCTCTGTGGGCCGTGGCCGCAGCAGCGTGGGCCCGAACACAATGCCTAGATTCCCAGGGGTCATCTTGTTGTCCTGCTCTACCTCCACAATCCTGAGGAGTCGAGGGGTGCAGAAGCAGGTGAGAGTGGCTCCCTGGACCCAGCCACCCTGGACCCCTGCCTGGCTGACCCTCACCTGCGCAGGTGCTGCAGCAGGTACTGCAGTGAGGCCTTGTTCTCGGATGGCAGGTCACGCAGGAGCTCCCGCAACCGGCCTACCATAACCATGGCCACAGCCTCGCTCTCAGCCGTATCCGGACAATTCCGGGACGCTGCCTTCGCTTCAGCCTCTGCCTTCAGACTGTCCTTGGCCAGCCCCACAAGCTCATGGTAGAGGCGGAAGGAGATGAGTGGCTCAGGCAGCTGCCAAGTGACAGGTGGGGGCAGGAGGAGTGGGGATAGGGGGTGTCATCAGTGATCCTGGCCCAGTCCCCTCCTGTCCTTCCCTGGCCATGCCCCTAGCATCAGCCCGACCCCTGCCAGGTGCTGGTCCCACCCCAACCCATAACCAGATCTGCTCCTGCCCTGGCCACATCCCTGGCCTAGCAGCCCACTACCCCAAGAAGCCCTGCCCCTGCCAGGCACAGGTCCTGCCCAGTATCTGCTCTTCCCCCATGGGGCTCACCTGGCGCAGGTAGAGTTTAAGGACATTGCTGATGTCGTGAGGTGAGGCCTGCGACAGCTCCACCAGCTCCTTGCCGTTTTCGAAGGCCTGGCACAGCTTCTCCACACGCGTCTTCACCCCATTCACCCGGTATATGCCCTGTGGGGGTCAACGGTCAGCCTCAGCCCACACCTGCCTCCCCTCCCTGTGCTTCTAGGATGAAGCCCCTGCTGCTGTCCCCACAGTAGTCACCTTCGTGCGCAGAGCCCGCCGCTCGATCTCACAAACACACTTCTTGACAATGAAGGGCACGCCATCGGGAGTGCCACGGGCTGCCTGGCCGAAGTCCTGGCCAAAGAGCTGCAGGCGGCCCTGAAGCTTCTTGTGTCCACACTGGATGGCCAGGGTCTCCAGACACTTCTTGTGGCAGGCCAGGCAGCACTGGGGGCAGTGCACAGTGAGCAGAGAGCCTGGGTCCCCCTTCCCTCCTCCCTGAAGCCCTCATGACCCACTCCCCCACAGGGCAGTTTCTGAAAGACAGTCCCGATGGTCACTCCCAGAGTCCCCTGTGCTCCACATGGGACCTTCTAGCCATCCCTGGGGCCCCCACTCACCTCCTCGCACTCAGCGCCATGGAAGTAGACATAGCTGTTGCACTCCCGGCACTTGGCTGGGGAACGGAGCTTTCGGAGCCTGTGAGTTCGGGCTGCCTTGGAAAGTCCCATGTGGCGGAAGGGCCCACTGGGCACAGCCACTGGAAGCTCAGGGGTCATGCCGTTGAGGTCAGCTGGGGGTGGGACAGGTGGTCATTGTTGCCAAGGCAGGTTAGGACCAGGCCCACAGGCAGAGTCTAAACCCCTCTCCCCTTACTGCCGGGGTCAGAGGCCCCTTACCCTGCTCAAAGGCTGATGCCCCTGCACTGCCCTCCTGGTCCACCAGCTCCTCGCTGGATGACATGGTGCCGCTGGATGACATCCGTTCAAACTTCTTAAAGTCCCCTGAGCAGGAAATAGGGGTGTCAGATACCCCAAGCCCAGAGGGAGCAGCATCTGGTTGGCCAGCTGCTCCCCCAAGGGCCCTCTCCATCACCCTGACCACATGGTGAGCTGTCCCCAGCCCGCAGGGCAGGTCCTTCACCTGAGCCAGGGCTGGGGTCCAGACTGCCATCGGAGTCTGGGATGGAGGTTGGCCATGACTTGTGCACCTGGTGTCCACGCCCACCTGCAGAATGGGGCATCTAGTGAAGGGCTGAGTGGGGCTGAGAAGGGCTGGAGGGAGGCCTCACCCACCCCACAATCCTGCCAGGCACCCACCCCCACTGGGCACTCACCCCTGCGCTCCTTGGCAAGCATCCCATCGCTGGGTCCACCTTCATCAGGGGGGCCGCTAGCAGCCTCCGCAGCGTCACCAACATTGAAGCTGCCTTTCCGGGCACGCATGACAGGGGACCTGGTGGGAATAAAAGCCAGAAGGAGGAGCCATGATGGGGGTCAGAGAGGCCTCATCATGCTTACCCCCATCTCAGGTGCGAAGCCGGCTCCCAGGGCACGTGCACACAGCCATACCAGTTGCTGGTGGGGACATGAGGCTCAAAGTCATAGTGCACATCAGGCTCCTCATCACGCTGCAACTGGCGCACGTGGGAGGCGTACTGCTGGCCCGGATCATAGAGCTTGCTGCTCTCACACAGCATCTGGAAGTGCACAGGCAGCGGGGCCGTCTGCATGTGCATCATCTGGTAGTAGGAGATGGTCGCCTGAGGGAGATGGGGCATAGGCAGTGAGGTCAGCAGTTTGCACGGGTAGCTGCGCAGCCTGCCAGCAGCCAGAGCCTGGGAGCACCTGGCACCCACCGACTTGATGGTCTGGTCACTCTGCCGGATGACCTCCTGGATCTGTCGAAGCGCCGTCACCTTGGTGTCCTCCAGCTCCTGCTTCTGTGTCTTGGCATCCGCCACACATGTGCGGTATGTGGCCATGGCTTCCTCTGCCTGGGGTGGGGGTAGGGGGTGCACAGAGAGACCTCAGCCTGGGATTCAAGACCCACACAGAAATCCAGCCAGCAGAACGGTGGGAGGGCTTTCCCGGCAGAATAGAGGTGGGGAACTTCACACAGTGTGTCAGAACTGCCCCTCCCACTCACACCCACCTTGTTCTTGGCCTCCTCTTCCAAGCGCCGCCGCTTGTCCAGGGCCTTGGAGACCGTGCCCCCTGCTCCAGGCCCAGTGCCCACCTGCTCCTCCTCCGTCTTGGCCACCAGCAGGCGGGCCTTGTCATGGTCCTCACAGCGCTGCACGTAGCCCTGTTTGGCCTTGCGAAGGTTGGACTCTGCCTCTTGCTGTGGGCGTGGAAGCAAAGAGACCATTTCCAAACTGTCCTTCAACTGAGCTGGGTCCTGGCTTTCCCCACTTCCCACCCCAGCAGCCAGACACCGAGTCAGGCACCACCACCACCCACGTCCCATGGTAACATCCCATGGCCCAGTGGGCAAACAGGCACCTGCCCAAGAACTGACAGTAGAAGAATAGGAGGTGCCACCTATCATGGGACTCCAGGAGGAACTGGATCGATCTGGTGTGCCCATCTGACAGCCCGGGAAGCTGAGGCATAGCTAAGCTCTGAACGAGGCACAGCCTTCATCAGCCCCTGACACCTATACCCACCCCCGTCAGAGCGGCTGGTGACGCACACGCTCTTTCACTTCCCCTCTCAGAGAGAACAGTGCAGCCGCCCAGGCAGGAAGTCAAGCACCCTCTGGGTGGGTAGGAAGGCACTTAGTCAAAACCCATGGGCCTTCTGGGGCCACACCTTGCAGCCTGCACCTTCAAAGGCTTAAAGGTAAAGAACTGGTATAGGTACTAGGAGAAACCACGGGGGAATTTTTTAAATAAAAAATTTCGGTGCAAGACACAAAACCCAGAAACCATAAAAGAAAAGACTATTGCCCTGGCCAGTGTTGCTTAGTGCTTAGAGCGTCAGCCCATGCACCAAAGGGTCATGGGTTTGAGTCCCAGTCAAGGGCACATATCTGAGTTGCAGATTCGATACTTGGCCCCAGTTGGGGCGTGTGCAGGAGGCAACCAATTGGTGTACCTCTCTCACATGGATGTTTCTCTCCCTGCCCCCCTCTCTCTCTCTCCATCCCTCCCTCCCTTGCTACTCTCTGTAAAAATCAGTGGAAAAAATACCTTTGGGCGAGTATTAACAAAAGAAAAGACTACTGCTGGCAATCACAGGTTTCTACTTGGTAAAATAGGCCAAGGAGTGGATCTTAACACACACCATCAGAGGCTGAGTTCTTTAATATGTAAAGAGCTCTGGCAAATCAATAAGAAACAGACCACAGTCGAATCCAGAGGGAGCAAAGGATATGGACCGAGCTTCACAAAGGGGGGGGAAATGCAGTTCTGATTCGAGGGGGTAGCTCGTACACTCACACCCCAACCCAGCCATTCCCTTTCAGCCAGAGATCTGAAATAAATGTTTGATCACATATCCAAAAGAGGGCACAGGCTTGTCACAGCAATGGTGTTTGAAACAGCAACAGCTCAGCAATAGAGATTTAGTAAAATAAGTCACGTGATCTCTGCAGCTAAGCACCTGTAAAGGGCTTGGGAAAAGGGAGGAGGGTGGATTGAGGTGGAGCACTCCTCTGGATGTGGGGTGAGTGTAAGAGACCAGACAAGTGCTCAGTAAGTCAACGAGTGTACAAGAGGCAGGAAACCACAGTTTGGTGCAGGTCCATGCCTGGGACTGCAGCTCAGAGGCCAGCCCGCCCCACCCTTACCCGCCCGCCTGCCTCCCAAGGTACCAGCTTCCTCTGGGCACGGTGCCAGGACTCCTTGATTTCCTTCCTGCGCTTCTCGTGCTCAAGCCGCCGCAGGTTCAGGGGCTGGGGTGAGATGGGCCGTGAGCAGGAGACCCTGGTAACCCCCCTCCTCGCCCAGCCTCCGGGGGGCAGCCCACCTGCATGAAGGTCTGGGTCTGCAGCGTGATCACTGCCTGCACCAAGCCGTGGCCGAACTCCAGGTCCTGCTCCAGGGCCAGCGAGTAGATGGACAGGAGGGGCATGTGGGGCTTTTGGAGAGGGCGGCAGTTAGAGGGGTGGGACAGCACCCAGGCCCTCCTGGAAGCCCTCCCTGGTTCCCTCGGGTTCCCTCAGCCACCACCATAGCATAGACAGGGAGCCCCTTCCTTTTGGCCCTTCTCAGTTGCAGGGACTCACACCCAGGCCCGTGGCCCCACCTCCTGCATGACGCTCTGTCTGCAGTTGTGGACAATCTTCTGCAGGCCTTTGGCAAAGTCCATCTCTGCAGGGCAGAGAAGAGGAGACAGTGCAGAGGGGAGGGGAGTGAGCAAGGGGTACGTGAGGGGAGGGGTCCCCTGGCAGATCTCACCCCAGGCCAGCACTCACCCAGGGCAGTCCGCTTCTCCAGGTAGCCAATGAGGTCCTTCATGTACTTCGCCATGTTCTTAGCGTAGTTCAGGGCCACATCTACGCCTCCCTCACAGCGTTGCAGCAGCATGTCCACCTCCTCGGGCAGCAGGCAGCCTGCAGAGCGGCCTCTCAGCCCAGGCTCCACCCTCCAGCACACCCTCAGTCCCAGGCCTCTGCCCCTCCACCCACCATTCAAGCAAATGCCCGCCCAGTGTGTGTGGCTCAGAGACTCACCAGCATCACAGTCCTCAGCGCAAGGGAGGGCGCCCTCACTTCCCTGTCCGTACAGGTTCTCCATGGACTGTGCAGGGGGAGTGCAGGTGAGCCCAGCCCTGTGCTGGGTCCCAGGTGATGTCCATCCATCAGGAGACCATCACCGCCCCCAGACAGAGAAGGCCATCCCAGCTCACCTGGCTCGAGTCCCCAGGGGGCACTGACAGGAGGGTGCTGCTGTCCACTTCACCCATGAGGAACTCGGACACGCTGCAGGGTCAGGGCTGTCAGTATCCAGAGGTACAAGGGCCCCACATACCCCTGCTCCCGCCCACAGGGCCCGCGCTCACGTGCTGCTGAAGGAGACGGCAATGGTCTCCAAGGCCTTCTCAAACTCCTGCTTGTCTGCCTCATTGTTGCACTCGTAATGGAAGGCTGGCGGGCAGAGACAAGGACGAGGAGGCTTGGCTCACTTTGGGATGTGACCACCCCTACAACTAAGTGAAGGGGGCCCTGAGCCCAGGGAAATCATTGGAGCAAGTGTGCCCATCAAACTCTTAGCTATCCTTCAAAACCCACTTCAAACACCCCCTCCTCCAGGAAGCCCTTCCAGGCAGAGAGCCCTTGCTGCTCTGTCCTGGCCAGCTGACCTTTGACCTTGGCAATGAGGGTGCCCGCAGCTGTGAGCGTTTCCACAGTGTTCAGCAGTGGGTACTTGCAGATGACCTGGCGCATCACTCGTAAGGCCTCGCCCAGACACTCATGGGCCAGCGGCCGGCGGGCCTCCAGGAGATCTGCGGGCAGAGCAGGTATGAGCAGGGAGGGAGTGGGTGGCCCCAGAGACATTCTGCCCATGTATTCCTCAAAGATCCTGTCCCCAGGTGGGAAAACTGAGGCAGAGGTGGGAGGAGGCAGCTGCCCGAGGCTTACTATGGGACGTCAGGTAGGGCACTGTCCCTCTCTTGGCTGCTGGCCAGGGCAACAAAGGCCAGACCGTGGCCTAGGCAGTCCCTTCTGCTCAGAACACTTTCCTCATCCCTCCAGAAAGCAAACTGCTTGTCCTTCAAGTTGCAGTCCTGGTACCTCCTCCTTCCTGCAGCCCACCTGGCCCCTTCCCTGCCCCAACCTTCAGGGCTGCTCAAGGCTCTATCCAGCTCTCTCCCTTCCCTGCCTGCCTGGATACCAGGCCTCAAGCACCCTGTTATCTCACACTCTCCCAACAGCCGCCCCATGACACAGGCACTGTCATCATCCCCATTTTGCAGATGAAGAAACTGAAGCACAGAGAGGGAAAGTCATTTCTCAAGGATCACACAGCTTTTCCACCTACACTATGTTTGAAGGCATGAGAACGACACACAGAAGGACCCTGCCTGGCTTTATCTCCAGGGCAAAGGGGAACCCTAGGCCAGTGATGGTGAACCTATGACACGCGTGTCAGAGGTGACACGCGAACTCATTTTTTTGGTTGATTTTTCTTTGTTAAATGGCATTTAAATATATAAAATAAATATCAAAAATATAAATCTTTGTTTTACTATGGTTGCAAATATCAAAAAATTTCTATATGTGACACGGCACCAGAGTTAAGTTAGGGTTTTTCAAAATGCTGACACGCCGAGCTCAAAAGGTTCGCCATCACTGCCCTAGGTGGTGATGGAGCATAGGGGGTCAAGGTTAGCTCTGTATCTTAGAACTGTGGTTTAGATGCTCTCTTCAGATGTTCTGAAAAGCAGCATGTGCAGGCAGAACAGTGTGTGCAAAACACACCAATAAAAACAAAACCGTAGCAGTGTCTGTAAGGGGAGGGGACAACTAGGTGCTAAGACCCAGGAGGCCTGGGGGCCGGCTGGGATGACAGCTTTGACACCTGTTGGCCTTCTGTCTCTGTGCCTGGTGGGCCTGCTCAGAACATAAGTGGAACCTGAAAATAGGCCCGACCCTTTTCAGCACTGAGGACCCCTTTGGATGGCCCTCGTGCCTTGAAACCTGGGGGGTCCTGACACCGAAGCCAACTCAGAGGCATAAAGGGGCTTCAGGAATCCAGGGAAGATGCTGGGGAAAGGCCAGGCCAGGCCCCTTCCCAGGACATTCCTTCCACACACCTGGCCCCTCGTCCTTGTGTTGCCTGGCCTCGGCCACCTGGGTCCCTGCAGCGCCCCCACCGGGAAGCTGACGCCAGGGAAGCCGACTCCAGAGAAGCCTGGACATGTTCAGCTTGGCACGGCCAAGCCAAGTGCAGCAGCTGCTGCGTCCCCAAGCGCCATGTGCTCCCAGAGGGCTGGGGACCCCGCACCCTACTCTGTCCCTTCACCTCAGGGTTCCATGCAGCAGCATATTGGTCCCCAAGACAACACACAATATGCTGAGAACACCTGGTAACAGTCACTATAAGCCTCAGGTATCTTATCTGTGAATCAGGGCAACCATAAGCCCTGAGTGTATAGTTGCCCTGATTCACAGATAAGACACCTGAGGCTTAGAGAGGGAGGCAGCTGGTCCAAGGTCTCACAGCTGGACAAGCAGGGGCAGCACAGGATTCAAACCCACATCCCCTCTGCTCCAGTCTCTTTCCCAGGCCCAGGACGCCTGAGGCATGATGAAGTGTGTCCCCAACCCTATCCCAACCGCCTCCAGGACTCAGCCCCACCCAGACCAGGCCTCCAAGGAAGTGCCAGAATAGGAAAGGAACCGAGATTAGCGAGTTTCCCCAGGAAAGAGCTCAGGCCCTGCCTCTGTGACCAGATAACCTTGGGGGTTCCCACTCCCACCCAGAAGGGGCTGGGCCTCTACACAGAGCTCCTCGTTAGCGCCCTGAAGACACAGAGGCCACTCAGGCTGAGGTTGGATCTGGCCCTGACCCCTCCTTAGCTGGGTGAGCCGGAGATCAGTGCCCCACTCCTGGCCTTAGTTTTCCCATCTATAAAATGGGTGCCTAGGGCGAGCTGGTCAGAGCACTTGGTGTGGTCTTGGCACTGTGGTTTCCGGGAGGAGCAGGCAGCACACAAGGTGCTGTGCCTGCATGGTTTGAGGTGCCTGCCAGGGACAAACAGGAAACAGATGAAAATAACTCAGCAGGAAGCCAGGCTGTCAGTCTTGTGGAGGAGAAAACGGAACTGCCATCCCACAAGCTGCTCCCTCCTGCAGCTCACATGCTGTCCTTCCTGCCCCTTGTCCCTTCTGACTCTCTCCATCAGACCTCAGCCTGCCTCTAGCCCACCTCGGCCCAACACACAAGTCCAACCGCTGCTCTAACACACTCTGTGGATCCCCACTGCCCTCAGGATAATGTCCAGGATCCTTCTTCCTGTCATCCTCAATCCCTTCAGCTTCACACACTTCATATACCAGCAAATCTCGTTCCTCCAAACACAACTCCATTTCATGTTTCTGAGCCAGTGCACATGACGTCTCCTCTGCTTCAATGCCTTGCCCTCCTAGTTTCCACCAAACTCCTACACATCCCTGAAAGCCCTAGCTGCAGCGGTTGCTTCCATAAAGATCCCCTTCTGAGCCTCCCCAAGTCCTCCTCTTTACCTTGCCTGGATCCCACGGGGTTTGGGGTATCTGTATCCACCTCAGTCTTCCCCCCCAGGCCTCAGTGTCCCTGCTGGCTCTCACCATCACGTAGAACATACTCCTTGAGCTTCTCCAGGCCCTCGGCGAAGCGGGCCACATCAACCAGGAGCTGGGAGATGTCCTCCACGGCATCGGGCCAGGCCCCCTCAACGGGTGGTTCGGCGGGGCTGGCGGCTGTCAGTGGGCTTCGGTGGCTCCGGCCTAGCGTCCAGGAAGTGGCACCGGGCAGAGGGAAGCCGGCAGCGCTGGCATGGCGGCTCAGGCTCGTGGGCCTCTTGAGCGTGCCTGTGGCCTTGGCGTTGGAGCTCAGTGGCTCCAGGCTGGGTCCCTGGTACAGAGCATCCGCCCCATCTTTCCTGGGCAGCTCCTGGAGGTGGAGGGGGGGTGATGGAGGGGGTAAGGCAGGTGCTCTGGCCCAGGTACTACCTCAGTTTCTTCAAAAGTGAAATGGGGTTCTGGGGGGGTCTTCAACCTGACCCCATGAGGGTCAGAGGCCAGAGGTCAGAGGGCTGAGATTTGGGGCCATGCCCCTCCCACACCTGTTACCCAACATCCTCTTCCCCAGAGCTTTCACAAACAACGTCTACCCAAACCACAGCTAGGGGCGGGGCCTGCGGGGGCGCGGGTACCCCACTTCCTGGTGGGGGAGGGCGGGCCAGAAGAGGGTCCCAGCCCCTGTAGCCCACCTCAGGCTGTGGCAGACGCACCTAATCCCTGGTAACGACACCTCTGTCAACTCCTGGAGACCCCTGAGCCCCATAAACACCACGAGACTGTGTACACCCCCTGGGCCCGGGCGGCCCTACACCCGGGGACCCTGTTAGATACTCTGCTGTGCCATGGCTCTCACATCCAACAGCACCGGAGCCCCCAAATTCTGAGCCCCACCCCACAGAGCCCACAACCAAAGGTTGCCCCCAAGCTGGCACCGCCACCCCACTCCCTGGGTCCCACAGCCGGCCGTGGACCAGATGAGGGAGGCCATGGCCACCCCAAAGGCCTCCTACCATGAGCCGAATGCCAGGGTGCTGGCTGGACCTGCGCGGCCCCTGCAGCCCTGCCTGGTGGGGGCTGTAGCTGGCGTGAGCCCCCCATCGCAGGCCCAACATGTTGCTTCTGGGCCCCGGCCCTGCCGCCCAAGCAGAGGGCGCACCCTGTCCCCCTGTGGCCCCAAGGTCCCCACCCGCTCCTCCTCCCCAAAGAGGCTCACTCACTCCCGAGGGCTGCGGGCTGGGGCTTCCCGCCCGGTTCTTTTTCGAGATCGAAGGGGTTTTCATGAGTTCGCGCTTCTTCCTGGAGAACATGGTGGGGCCGGCAGAGCAGCGCAGGCAGCAGGCGCGGGTGGAGC